CATTATGCTGGCCTGCCTCTGTCACCTGGCAGAATGCACTCAGGCAGTACCCTGGTCAGCCCAGGGTTCCATGGCTATTAGTCTGCACAAAGGTGCAAAGGACCCTTTAAAAGAAAGACCCCGCCCACTTATGCTCCCTCTCTCCCGCTGTTCCCATGGGACAGACAGAACTTTTCCTGTCTCTTCTGTCCTCTCTGTGTCTCTGTGCCTCTTCACCTCTGTTCTCTTTCCTTCCCCCTCTCCTTCCCCTTTCTAATAAAACTTCTCACTTAAGCTCTGCCTGGCATGTTTGTCCCCTGACTCGGTCACCCTCGCCTGCCATGGAATCTGCCAAGGCTCCCCATGCGCATTATCATCACATGAAGCATAGTTTAAGGATAGTGTTAATGTACATGTACACAAGACCCTAGGTTTAATCTCCAGCACTGGCACTGGCCAAGGTTGAGGAGGGAGGGGGAAGAGAGGGAGAGAGAGATCTTGCTAGTCTTGGTTCCTTGTGGTTGATATAGGCCAAGCGTCCACTAAGGAGGCTGTAAAAGGATCTAAATAGAGATCCAGGCCAGCTTGGGCCTAGAGTACAAGGCCAGTCTTGATTCTGACAGTAAAAAGTAAAGAGAGCTGGTGGCCAGGCATGGTAGCGATGCTTCTAATCCCAGCATTTAGGAAGCATGAGCAGCTAGATCTTGGTGAGCTTGAGACCAGGCTAGTCTATATAGGGTGTTACAGGGTCATATAGGGAGACCTTGTCTCGGAAAGACACAGCTCTGTAATTCCAGCTTTTGGGAGGTGGAGGCAGGAGGGTCGGAATTTAAACCTAGCCATCTATGGTTGTGCACAGCTTTAATTCTGAAGTTCAGAAGAGGGCATCAGGTTCCCCAAGAGCTGGAGTTATAGGTGATTGTGAGCTGTGTTGTGGGTGCTGGGAACCTAATTGAGATCCTCTGGGAGAGCAGCCAGTGCTCTTAACCACTGAGACATCTCTCTAGCCACCCCACCACGCCCTGTTTTAGGGAGAAAAATATCTATCTTGCAGGTTGCCTTAAGAATGGATCAGATGCCTATTGGTGGTCATGCACTCCTTTAGTCCCAGCACTCTGGAGGCAGAGGCAGACAAATCTTTAAGTTCAAGGCCAGCCTGGTCTCTAAAGTGAGTTCTAGGACAGGCGGGGTTACACAGAGAAATTCTGTCTGAAAAAAACATAAACAAATAAAATAATGAATCACATACCTCTCTGTATGTGAGATACTCTGGATGAATAGAAACAGCTATTTTTATTAAAACAAGTTCATGCCCAGAAAGGTCCAAGGTACTTAGCAACAGTCTGGAAGGCACATCTTTTAGCTACATTCATGCTTGAAAACATTGACTTGGCCAGAGCTGAAAGCGTTTATTGTACATAAAGAAACAAAGCACAGTTACAATGTCTGTCCACACAGGAAGATGGCTCCAGGCCCTCCTCTGTGATGTAATGCCACGGGACTTTACTGATGGGTGTTGGGGGAACATGCAGTCAGCCTGTGAAGGGTTCTCCCCCCTCCCGGCAGGGGCAGAGTTGGAAGTTTTCCCAGGTGGGATGGCAGTGTGGGAGTGTGTAGCCTTTACCCTTTAGGAAGTTTCCATTGTAGTTTTTTTTTCTCTTTAATGCAGCCTGCCCCTTTTATTATAGATCATCCAGAAGTTTCGGGTTCAGCGTGTTCATACTTGAAAGCAGGGCTGCTATCGTCAGATCAGCACACTGACAGCCGACCCTATCCATTGATTCCCACTGGATTCAACTCAGCCGGGAACCTGTCAGGAGGAGCCACAGGTGCCAGGTGCTGGAAACGCACTGTTGATCTGATAAGTTCTTGCCAGTGGAGCCTGGCAGAGAAGACAGATAGCTGATAACTCTTCCTAGGGAGTGTGGAGGGTTGGGTGATGTAATGGAGCTATGAATAAAGTGCTATTCAGGGCACTGGGGAGAGAAACATTAATTTCATTAGGGAGGGTAAAGGAAAGTGCTCTAAAGAGACATTCGATCTGCTCTTTGGACCAAGGCACCAGGCAAATAGCTTTTCTTTTCTTGTCCAGTACTGGACATCGAACCCAGAGCCTTGAACATTCTAGGTGAGCACCGTTCCCCAGAGCTGCTTCTACTTCCTTGTTGTTATATCAATATTATTTATCTGTTTTAAATATTAAAGATTCTCTCCAGGTTTGGTAGATGCATGTGTTGAGATAGATTTCAGGTGACAGGGTCCTTTTAAAGGGACTGGCCACCCCCCCCCCCGCAGGAATAGCTGGAGTATGGTGGTGGTACAATAGCAACTGGCAAAACAAAGGAAATTCTCTAGGTTTATATATAGACTTTAGAAGGTAGGGGGTCTCTGAGCTTAAAGAGGAAGGGTTTCTAAGATCAGCAGGTCTGAGAAGCCTGATAGATGGGATATAATGTGCAAATATAGGAAGCTGATCCTATTGTTCCCAATCTTGGGGCCTTTACATGTTAGGAACTTCAAAGCTTAGGGAAGGTGCAGGTGGAGTGTAATGCATGGTATACTGAACTCAAGTTTACATTATAAACCAGGCCAGCCTTGAACTGATACAGATGTTCCTACCTCGGCCTTCTGAGTGCTGGAATTACAGGTATAACCCACCATGTTCTGCTTATTTTAATTTTTTTGTTTTATTTTAAATTTGGGATGTTTTGTTTGTTTGTCTGAGACAGGTTTCTTTACATAGCTGTCCTGGAACTTGAACTCAAAGAGATCTGCCTGCCTCAGACACAGGCCTCCCATACCCCAAAATTGGGATTGAAAACATGCACTACTAGGAAGGCTATTTTGATTTTTGAGACAGGGTATCACTCTTTAACCTAGGCCAGCCTTGAATGTGCAGCCATCCTACTGCTTCAGCCTTATAGGTTGCTAGGATTGAAGGTTGTTGGAACGCCCAACTCTCAGATTCTCAGCATTAAAGAATGAGTAAGGGGCAACTAGAGAGATGGCTCAGTGGTTAAGAGTACTGGCTACTCTTCCAGAGGTCCTGAGTTCAATTCCCAGCAACCACTTGATGGCTCACAACCATCCATAATGAGATCTGGTGCCCTCGTCTGCCCTGTAGGCAGACAGACATGCAGGCAGAACACTGTATGCATAATAAAGAAATCTAAAAAAAAAAAAAAATGAGTAAGGGAAGTCCAAGGAAGGAAGTCCTTTAATCCCAGCACTCTGGAGGCAGAGGCAGGCAGATTTCTGTGTGTTTGAGGCCAGCCTGGTCTACAGAGCTAGTTCTCAAAAAATGAAAAAGGAAAAGCCAAAATACAACCCACTGCTTTATATGATAGTTTTAAGTTAATAAAAACAAAAAAGAAGGGTGGGATGTGACTTATTTGGTAGAATTCTTGCTTAGTGTGCACCAAATCCTGAATTTGATGCTCAGCACTACATAAAACTGGGTATGGTGGCTAAATGCTTATAATCCCAGCACTTCAAAAAGTAGGGGGAATCCTTGGCTACATAGAAAGTTCAAAGACAGTCTGTCTGAGTTATAGATGGTCTCAACACAGAAGTATGCTTAAGCCCATGTGTGTGCGCAGGCGCACACGCGTTTGCACGCACACACACACACACACACACACACGACAGACACACATACACACGACAGACACACATAAACACGACAGACATACAGTCACACACAGAGAACTTAACTTGGTAGTACACACCTGTAATCCCAGTATTTGGGAAGCTGAGTGAGGCAGGAGGATAACTGTGATGGTGATGCCAGCCTGGACTACAGATTTTGTCTTTGTCTTAAACAATAAAACAAAATGAAGGCATATAAAAGTAATTTTGAGGCTGTAACTATTGCTCTAAAGGTAAAAGTGTTAGTATTCAGGCATCTGTACTGGCCTGCCTTTGGGGTCCTGACAAAATACATCCTCAACTGCAGTCACTAAGTGTACCACCTGTGCCCATTTGCTACATTCTCTTCTAAAAGTAGGGCTTTGCCCACCTCCCTTTTCTTGCTCTCTTTCTCTTCTGCTATTTTTGTCCTCAGGGACCTGTCTCTGCCCTCTTCTCTCTTCCAATAAACCTTCCATGTGTGCCCTGTTGTGTGGCATGGTTCCTTCCCACTGTTTTTTAAACTATTACAAAATAAGGGCTTGTACAACCTAAGTAATAGGTTTTCTGTCCACTGATAACAGATTTCTCTGCCGATGCAGTAAGTCAGATCAAGTATAACGACAGGTTTATTTTAGCAAAGCCACTCCGGGTGGGTTCTCCAGTCCCAGAGATGGAGGCCAGAGAAGCCACATGCCCAAACGAAAGCAGGGAGATTATATAGGTTGTAGGTGAGGAGGAGGATGTGTCAGCCAGGAACTGCGTTTGTGCCCAAGTGTGCTCAAAAGCTGAGTGCTTCAGAAGGTGACTTCAGTGGCTGGTGACTTCAGGGTAGGAAGCTGCAATAGCAGCCAAGTATGTGGAACTGAGCCTTTTGGTGCCTCTCCTCCTTTTGGAGACTCTTGAGTGGGTGGGGTTTGGAGAGGGGGTGGCGGAATGGGACTTCCTGGATCAAGTAGAGTTGAGCTGGAGGTTCTGACAGAACACCGAGGACCTGAGTTTGACCCCTGGAGTTTAGGGATGACTTAGCCACAAGTTCTCAGGACAGGTAGCCTGGAGTATGCAGTGAAAAGAAATGACAGGAGTAGCAGTTGGCCCTTGAGGACTCTCCTATAGCTGTCAACGTTTACAGTGCTTCTCTCTAATCTGTAAGCTCCCTTCACTCTGAATGAAGGTCTGGAAGGCTGGCTGAGTGGCTAAGAGTACTTGCTGTTCTTGCAGAGGATTGGGGTTCCATTTCCTGTATCCATATCACGTGGTTCACAACTGCCGGTAGCTCCAGCTACAGGTAGTGGAACACCTATTTTCAGCCTCTGTAAGCACTACATGCATATGGTGCCTACACATACAGATACACACACACACACACACACACACACACACACACACCAGTTAATAGAACCATCGAAGTCAACCATGTAGACAAATGAGTAAATATCTTTTGTCTGCAGAAGGCAGCCATCCAGCATTAACACGGAGGTCTCTGTCTGACTTGGATAGCTGGCTAAAACTTTTGAATTGCCACTCTAAATATATGTCTTTCTTATTTCATTCAACATCTCTTCAAGTTAAGTGTACTGGGTTATAGAAGCAAACAAAAGAGCAACAAAAAATAAGGAAGAAAGCCAAGTAAAGCTAGTTCTCCAACTCCCCTCCTCCAATCTCTACTTTTGCAAAACAAACAAAACCAAAGTGGAAGTCCAGAACTGACCCCTACAACTTGTTCTTTCCTGACTTCTACATTTACACAAACACACAGCAAAATATTCTTTAAAGACTGATCTTGAAAAATGAAAAAGAAGCCAGCCATGGTGGCACACGCCTTTAACCCCAGCACTTGGGAGGCAGAGGCAGGTGGATCTCTGTGAGTTCAAGGCCAGCCTGATATACATACTAAGTTCCAAGACAGCTGGGGCTACAAAATAGAAGACTGTCTCACAAAAAAACAAACCAAACAAGTTAATGAACTTAAAAAGAGAAAACAAGCCAGGTGGTGGTGGCATACACCTTTAATCCCAGAGCTCAGGAGGCAGAGGCAGGTGGAACTCTGTGAGTATGAGGCCAGCCTGGTCTACAGATCGAGTTACAGGACTGAAAAGGCGGTTAGACAGAGAAACCCTGTCTTAAGAAAAGAAAAGACAACAAAAACAAAGGTGACTTTGTTCACAGCTATAGCAGGGAAAAGAATGGCTATGAAGGCTTTGGGATGAATAAACTTGGCTTGGCAAAACTCCCTGAGACAGCCAGGCTGATAACACGCCTGTGGGACCAGGAACCTTTCGAACTTTTATCGCCACAATTCTTTTTTTCTTAACTGAGTCTTTTGCCTCTGTGAACATTTGTTGCTGTCCTTCTACACATTGCTTCATCCCTGTTGTTGCCCTGAGGATAAATATCTGTCTATTCTCAACTGTCCATTGGTCTGAGTCTCTTTCCTTCCAATAGGTTCTCAGAATAAGTCCTAGTCAAGCAGGAAATGGTGCTCAAGATGGGCACTGAGTCAATAAATGTGTACCAGGGCCAGAGAAGGTGTTTGGGTTTACAGAGAAAGAGAGCCTAGCACTTAGCTCCCCCCCCCCCCCACACACACTTTGTTTCAGTTGTCCTTTCTCCCGCATCATCAGCTCACAAAGCTTGGCTCCTTTGGCTGGGAGGAGGCATGATGTTTTTATTTTTATTTTTTGCTGACGGGTTGACTCTATTGTTTTCCAGCCGGGTGTTTTCTCCTGCCTCTTCTAATCGCCTGCAATCACACAGCAGGCCTGCAGGGGTCCTCAGAGCACCCCACACCAGACCAGGTCTTTAGCTAATGTTATCTTTTATTTAAACAGAAAACAGGAACCTCCATTCTTGTTACATAACATACCAGTATCCTGTATCCCAGGGTATATAGAATCTACTGATAGGGAGTAGGGAACTTGTACATGCAAATATACTCACTAACACAATATTGCAGAAATGTAACAAGTTTGATTTTCTGGTTCCTTATTTGAAACTTTAGAGTTGGAAGGGACTTCGAAAAACATTTTATTTCAGCCCTCCTTATTTATTTTTGCAGCAGTAGGAATTGAATCTAGAGCCTCAAGCACACTGAGCAAAATATCTATTGAGCACCATCTCCAGTGCCCCACCTCCATTTTAGGCTGTGAGAACTAAGGCCTAAGGATGCAAAGGAACATACCCAGGAGGCAGCCCTGGACTAGTAACCAAATCTAAAGAATTTAATACATATTTTCTTTTTTTTTTTGTGTGTGGTTTTTCCACACGGTTTTCTCTGTGTAGCTTAGGCGCTTCTCCTAGCACTCGCTGTGTAGATCAGGTTGGCCTTGAACTCATGGAGATCCACTTGCCTCTGCCTCCCAAGTGCTGGGACTAAAGGTGTGTGCCACCACCGCCTGGTTAGAATTTAATATGTATTCTTAAAGATTAAACCTTAAACCTTTCAAGTTTGTGATTAATTAGCTGGAGGCTTGTTGCCCCAGGATTTAGACTTTTCATAGTAGTCAATTGTAAACAATGGGTGTCTTTACACTTAAATCTATACCTGCTAGCTAATATGAGGCAGTTTTGTTTTTACTAACATTGGTACTGAATTCATTCCTAACCAAGTAATGCACATTACCTGAAGACAACTTGATTGATAGCATGCATATTAAAAACAGCTGGGTGGAGGAGTTACAGGTGAAGTCTTGAGTCACCTGGGGATCTACCTAAGCGCCACACTGGGATTATGTGTAAATCACTATGGGGTGGAAGACAGAAGTTACCTGGGCCTTCTGCAGCAGCTCACATCCAGAACCATACTTTTCTTTTTTTTCCTTTTCTTTGTTCCCTTGTAACCTAGGAGGGCTTGGAACTGGCTATGCAGCTGAGGGTGACCTTGAACTTCTCATCCTTCATCTGCCTCCACTTCCCAAGCACTTAGGTTATAAGGCACGGTCCACCCTGCCCAACTACCATGCATTTTTCTTTTTAATTTTATCCTTTCTAAAATGTCAGTGAAAACATGTTTATGCCCCCATGCCATGCAGACCCCCAGTGGCTCAGAGAAAAGGTTGGATCTGCCTTGTCTTTTGGCTCTGGCAGGAATTCTTTATCAAATTGACCTGTTTTCCGGCTGGGAGACTCTGCCCCACTCCACCCACCTGGTACCTCCCTGGATTTCCCGACTGTCATGAGTTTATTTTTTAACCTTCTCTTCCTTGAAAAGCACCACCCCACTGACCCAGAACGACAGCTCCTCCCCTTTGGTCATTTTGATCATTTGGTTGGTTGGTTTCTCTGTAGCTTTGGAGCCTGTCCTGGAACTAGCTCTTGTAGACCAGGCTGGCCTTGAACTCACAGAGATCTGCCTGCCGAGTGCTGGGACTAAAGGCATGCACCACCACCACCAGGCTAATTTTTTTGTTTTTAATTTTGACCATTGTTACTCTACTTTTTTGGTGCTAAGCGACCTCATTAACCTCTGAAGACCCTGGAAAACCATCAACAATAGAGCACCCCAATTCCTCCACAGTCCTTCAGCATGCTCTACCCCCCCCCCCCCAGCACTGGGGATTGAACCCAGGGCCTCGAGCACACCAGGCAACCCTTTCCTAGTTTTAACTGGTCGAAATTACTAGCAGGGCAGAGAGAAGAGAGAATTGTCTCAGCTTCTGAGCTGACCATGGGTGGGCCTGGTGAGACCGGTATTATCTTATTAAATTCACCTGCCTTGAAGTCTGAGCGCCACTTGTGGTAACTTAAGCTCTAGGTCAGGAATTAAAAGCGAATTACTATCTAGGTGCTCCTAGCAGAAGCACTGTAAATCCCACTTTCCAACATAGCCCCGGGTCCTGGGAATCCCAGCAAACCCAAACAAACAGCTTCCTATCTTGGAGCTCACCCATCCCAATCGTCTCTCCTCCCAGCCCCGCCCGCCTGCTAGCTGCCCAGACTGGCGGGACCCGGACCTCGCCACACTCCTCGCACGCGCGCCCCGCCAGGGCAGAGGGGCGGGTGGGGGTGGGGGGCGGAGGCAGGGGAAGCAGGGGCGGAGTTCCGTCCTCCGTTGATTGGCTCCTCGCTGATGGGCTGCGGCCGTCCCGGACCAACCAGTGGCGTGTTGCTATGTGCTGAACCGATGGGATAGGCGCGGGGGCGCGTCCGTCACCCGACAAGCCCCCGGCCCGGACTCGGAGGGATGCGGAGCGGCAGTGGCGGCGGCGGTGGCGGAGACTGTGGCTTTAAGAGTGCGCAGGGAGCGCTAGAGTCAGCCGTGCAGTCCTTCGTCGCCAAACACTCCGGAGCAGCCGAGCCCGGCGCTGGCGGGACCGGGCAGCCTGCTGCCAGGTAAAGGGATCGCTGGCCGGTCGCGCGTAGGCGTGGGGCTCAGTCCGCGCGGGATCGGGCTGTGAACCCTGCAAGGCGGTCTGGCTCTTGCACAGCGCGCAGCCCAGCTCGGTCGGGACGATGCTAGTGAGGTCCCTCGGGGGCTCCCGGAGGGTTCCCGGGGCTCCAGGGGCGGGGAGCGGGCTGCCGCGGCCACGTGACCGGTTTGTTTACAAACACTGGCGCGCGCTCAGAGTTCGGGGCTTGGGGACGACTGTGAGTTGACGGGCGGTGGTGGGGAACCGCAGATCTAGGCGCTGCCGTTTCCCTTGTTTGGCTTGATTGCCCCCGCGGGTAGCACACGGTGACAGCGGGCTGTGTGGTCTGTGTTTCCACCCAGATACTTGGGTCTGGGGCACACCGCCCTCAAAAGTCCCCGAGTGCTTTGCCAGCCCCAGGCCGAGGGAACCGCAGCGAGTTCCTGCCTGGACGCTTTCCGGCGCCTCCCCAGCGGCCTTGCCAAGGGGTGGTCGCGAACTCGCGCTGCCAGACTAGCTGCGGAGGCCTCTGCGGAGGGTCCCTCCCCGGAGCTGGCTCCTCTCTCTCCCTGCTTCAAGTTTCACCTGCCTGGTTGCTGACTCCCTTCGGGTGGTTTCCTGAAACAGTGGGGCATTGCTGGCTCCTCGCAGCTGGAGGGAGCATTCCTGTTCCTTTGGACCCCTTCTGTAAAGCACTGCTTGCCACCTCTGACTTCACTTTCACCCACCCTTTTTAAAAAGGCTGAGTGGGCATCCTCCAGTTTACCCAGCCTATCACAGTCGGGCCGCTGGAAATGGCAAATGGGTCTGCCCAGGAGCTGTGCTGGGGTTTTTGCTTTTTGGCCTTGTTGATTTGTTGTTGCCACGTTGGAGTGTCTTTGAGCTACTGACTTGGAGAGTCTAAGGGGCTAACAAGGGCCCTAGCTACTTCGTTCTAGCAAGATGGCTCTCTGTCCAGAGCACTGAACAAAACTACAGATTACTTTTCTGTACCCCATTTATTTACAGGACATTAGAGGCACAAGAGAATTACAGTGGATGCTTGGAGCTCTGCGGTAGTCTGGTTTGTGGGTTCAGAGTCTGTGACCAGTCAGGTGGGGTTCACATTTCCTTACCTTTCCTTTTTCCCACCCACTGCCACCGGCTTTACCAGTTTTCCACTTTTTTAGTATTTAATGCTGATAGTCTTACCTTCAAGGAAGTTCATTCTTTTTAATATAAATTTTAAAGTTCTTTAGTTTACAAAATAATGGCTTTATCATGACATTTTCATACATATGTATCATTGTGCCTGGTACACACTCACCTGTGTGTGTGTCCCTTCATGTCCTCCCCTACCCGCCCCTCCCCCCCTCCTTTTGTCCTGTCTGTGATGAGTGGCTGTGTTCTGACAACAAGCCTAGCCTGAGGAGAGCTGGGTAAACTTCCCTTTGGCACTGTGGTTTGCTCCCTATTTCATGACTGGATCAAACAGGATGGCGTGGGGGGGGGCCGGGGCTCATGCCCTGCCTCCGTTGGGGGCTCTACTTAGCAGTTTAGAATTCAGTGATACCATTTCTTTGATCTCTCTGCTTGAATTGAGATAGATGTGGATAGCTAGGACTAGTGGTATATGACCAAACCCAGAACCCTTAAAGTAGAGGCAGGGGGAATTACTGTAAGCTTGAGGCCAGCCTGGTCTGTATAAAGGGGTTCCAGGGAGACAGTCTTGTGTCAGAAAACAGAAACCTTTCAGTTTTTAGAGCCTTGATTTTTCAAGCTTTTGTGGGCTCCCCAGTAAGGAATACATTATAGCACTGTGCATTGGCCCACTGCTGAAAGAATTTCTGGGAAGCAGTGACTATTACCTGCAGCATGCTGATCTCCCCCCCCCCATTAGAAAAAAATAAGCTGGTGGTCATGACTCATTAATTTGATTTCCTAACCAAATGGGTCATGACCTTCAGTTTGAGAAACATTGGTTTAGGGCGGAGGGCCTCTAGCCTGAATGTGCAAGATGGCCAGAGTAATGTTTAGAAATACTGTGGTTAAAAGAAAGACATACATGTATATGCATTTTACATACACATTAAACATATATGCATATGTATAGTGTGCTAATCACTCCAGACATGGTGGCATACTACAGCCCCTGCTGGCTTTGAACTTTTCTGCAATCCTCCATCCTCAGCCTCCATAGTGGAGAAATTACAGGCATTTGGCACCACACACCTGTTTCGAGTTGCCAATTGGTTGGGGCTGCTGCATTTGGATGATGATGCAGGTAGCTGGTTAGAATCTCTGGTCTGCTGGGAGTGGATGTGAAGTGCATGGTCAGGTCCCTATGTTACACTTGGGCGCAAGCTTTCTTTCAGGTCCCCCCTTTGTAAGGGGGCCTGGCAAGGTGGTGGTCCCACCTCTTAGGAGACATTGGCTGTCAGATCTCTTCCGCATCTCAGCACATTCCAGATTAGCTGGGACTACACAGTGGGACCCTATCTCAAAGGCCCAGGTAAAGAGGGTAGGTCTTGCAGCCTGCTGCACTGTGGCTCAGGTGAGGCTGCTGCTCTCTCTGTTCTGTAGCACTGGCTGCTTCTGAGTGCTGGGGGGGGGGTTGGGGGGGTTTGGGGGGTTGGAGATGTGAGCAGAGCTGCTGTGCTGTTCACAGATTATGTGCATTCTCATTGTCATAATGATGTTAATGGTTTTGAGGCAGTCACTGTGCCTAGGGGATTAACAACTGGCCAGCAGAAGAAAGGATTGATTTTGTTTAATGTCTGGCTGGTATTCCAGACTGTGTAGCCTGAGGGAAAGGCAGGCTGTGACTTTATTTTGATTTGGGGGTTGGGGGTTAGTCGGGGACTTGTCTAACATCAGATGTTAATAAGAGACTCACCTTCCTAGAGACTCTTGCCTAGTCCGCTGTGTATGTGTGTGTGCAGGTGGGTCCTCTATCTTAGTCATCCAGTTCCTGATGCTTTTACCTCTGCCTTCAAGCACACACACAGACAGGAACACACACCAGTGGAGCTGTACATTTAAATTTCCCATCTTATTTTGTCCAAATAGGTTGGTAGAAGATATTTCTTTGAATTAAAGCTGCTTTTACCTATACAAATGACATTTAATTATCCAAATTCAGCTTGTACTATGGTCCTTCTTGGCAAAGAAATGCCTTGTAGGACAGCATTCACTGGGAGATTGTTTAACATTAATAACTCTCCATTTGGCCTTGCTGCTCACATTCAGTATATCCAGTTTTGAGCACACAGAAAAAAAAATAATAAAAACAAAATGACAGCCATAGCTGTGGAGATGAATGCCTTTAATCCCAGCACTCAGGAGGCAAAGGAGGCAAAGGCAGGTGGATCTCTGAAGTTTGAGTCCAGCCTGGTCTATAGAATGAGTTCCAGGACAGCCTACACAGAAAAGCCTGTCTCCAGAAACAAAAAACAGACACCACCAACAAAAAGCAACAAGAGTGGCAAGGGATAAGAAGTTTTAGGAAAAGCAGAGGGAAAGGATTGGAAAGGAAATCAGGCACCGTTTCCCTGGTAAACTATGTCAGCATTTCTCTCGGTCTGTCAACCCCAAACCCCTGGGTAGTGTTGACAGGTTCAAAGCATCATTCTGAATGGAGAGCCAGCCAGCGCCCTTGTGCCTGCCTGCCTGCCTGCCTGCCAGCTAAAGGTATTTGTTAGGTCTGACAAGTTTTTGGTGATGTTATCCATAACAAAAAGTTGCTGTCTGCTTGGATCTGTTAAAGATTGCATCTGCCTGAATTTCCCTGTGAGCTGTGGCAGGCTATACCTCAGGCACTTCATTCTCTGTGCCCTCCCTGGGTCTTCCCCACGGCCACCCTCATCTCTGCTGCAACCCCTTGGGCCTTAGTGAAGTTCTTGAGACATACATGCTGTTTTGAGTCTCTTAAGGTGCTCACAGACTGTCTTGCCCAGGCTGGCTTTGACTTAACCTCTGTGGCCCGACTTCTAGGATCACAGGTGTGCATCACCACACCCAATCTAAGCCTCCCCCCACCCCCCTTTCTGGGTCCCAGCATTTCCTTTTTGAAGATTTATTTTACTTGTATGAGCATTTTGTCGGCATGTATTTACTGTGCCAGGTTAGAAGAGATTATCAGGGTTCTCTAGAACTGGAGTTATGATGGTTGTGAGCCACCATGTGTGTGCTGGAAACAAACTCAGGTCCTCTATAAGCAACAAGAGACATAGTCTCTAACCCTGCTTGTTTTTGTTTGTTTTCTACTGTTTTCTTTTTATGGATGATAGCCGGCCCCTCCCTGACTAGTTATCAGTGCTGCTCTCCTCCTTGCCCACAGGCTTTCTTAATCCCTTAATTTGGTTTTGACAGGGTCCCTTGTATCCCAGGCTGCTCTTGAGATTTCTTACCTCCAGCCTCTATCTCCCTAATGGTAAATTACAGGCTCAGTTCTATGTCTTGCTGGTATTTCAACGTCATGCATACTAAGCAAGAAATCTACCAACTTTATTATTATTTTAAAATGCTTACTATCATCTGGAAATATATTGTCAACTTGCTTATTGGAATGGAATATTGAGCCTCCATCTGTCTGATTTGCTCACTGTTGTCAATACTTGGCTTTCAGCAGGTGCTGGATAAATTCCTGTTGGTTAAAAGCATAAATGACCAAAGGACCCAAGATCTAGTCTCTAAAATAGGAAGCTGCTGCTTTTTTATTTTTTATTTTTCCCTCTTTTGGCTTTTTGGGGCAGGATTTTTCTTTGTTGCCTTGTTTGGTCTACAACTCACAGACCCACTGCCTCTGCTTCCCAAGTGTTGGGATTAAAGGTTCGAGAGAGAAGATGAGAATTAAGAAAATTCTTGTCTCTTTCTTGGAATGAAGATAATATTTTCAGAATTTCTTTTGCAGCTTGTATTTTACACAGTATTTTAATTCTTTTTTTTTCCCTTCCATTTATATGTTGCTAGTTCCTTAAAGCTCAATGGTCACTTACTGCTAAT